ATTTTGTGGCAGTCGGGTAAAAAGTAATAAAACACGTGCACACGACCATTTAGCATAATAAAAATATTACAAACATCTTGAATATATGTTAAGAAAAAAAAAATCTGAAAAGTTGTTAAGGTTGCACTAAGCTTTTTATTTTAGTAAGACGACAGCGTGCAGCGGGGGGTGTGGCTAGGATGGACGGAACGCGTGCGAATTTGGGTATTTCCTTCGTATTATTAAAACAAATACACATTTTGAAAATGTAACGTGTATAGTTTTGTTATTATTAAAAAAACTGATGAACTTCCTTGAATTATTTACGCCGCACTAAGGGTTTGTTTTGTTTTTTAGAGATCATTTTGGATTTTTTTTCTATCGAGGAAACTACAAGTAATCGTATTTCTAAAAGGTAAGATTTATAGAATAAATCCTTAAAAATCCTACATATCAATTGCATAATAATAGTTTTAGTAATAACAATACAGCAAGGGATCAAACGAACGCAATTATTTCGTAATTGCCTCGGTGCGCCCTTAAGATTTTAGTGTAAAATAATTTAATGCATTCAAATCCATACTTAATATTATAAATGTGAAAGTATTTGTTTGTTTGTCCTTCTTTCACGTCAAAACAAAGTGACGGATTGGCATGATTTGTTGTGTGGAGATAGTTGGAGGGCTGGAAAGTGACATAGGTTATTTTATACCGCGGGAGATCTCATTCCCACGGGAAAACCCAAAAAAATATTTATGATTAGAATTACTTGAAACTTACTGCTAATGCTCTTCAATACAATTAAATAAATACGCAAAATATATCTAATATTTCGCAAAATATTGCCTATGTATTACTTTGATGTATAAGCTATATAACTGTAAAGTTTCATCAATATCCGATCAGTAGTTTTAGCGTGAATGTGGAGTAAACATCCATCCATCCATACATCTATCCTCACAAAATTTTAAAATATAGTAGGACCCAGAGACCCCACCAAAATTAATGTTTCCGACAATAGGATTTTACACTATCAACAAATTCGAGCATATCGATCAAAATGACCAAATTTGTCGTTACGTAATTAATAAATGGCCCCTAGTAGATTATTTTTTTTATTTGCACCGAGACTATTTTAAAATATGCTATCTTGGTGCTTTTATTATTGAAATAAAATTTCTTTAGGCGCGCCGATTTTTTTATTTCTGTCCTATCCTTAATATTCAAAAAATAAATTGAATTCATAAAAAATACCGATAATAACCTACAGGAGTTTCACTTATTGCGCGTGCACACATTGATACACTCACTCTTTAACTGTATTTGTTTTGTTATAGCGGCAAAAGAATTACACACCGGTGAACATTTTATCTGTATACCTACTACGGTCCATGAGATAAAGCCCGTTGACAGACAGGCGGACGGACTGCGGAGACTTAGTAATGGGGTCATCATCATAGATAGATGGAATCATCTACAGACGATCCCGCGTCGATTGATCTAAGTTGTATATAGTCACGTTCAGCAGTTTTTATTTAATGGCTAACAAACAACAAATGTCAATTTTTAATGCATTCAATTAAATTGATTTGACGTCCACCTAATTTATAATTAATCCTTTAATAAATGAAAATAAGCCTGTATAATATTATGTATATTAATGAAATTTTTATTCAGAGAGCTTTAACAATTACCTATGTAAAGTTGTGTCACGGTTAAACTCTCTAACTGCTTTACACCAATTTGCAAATGAAGCCCAAAATTAGGGAAATGTAGAAATCAACATTGAATGATGAATACGCCTTTTGAAGGATTTCGCCAAACCGATGCACTGCTTAATTAGCAAATAGTTTTTAGATTGAATTTAGCTATTTAAAACCAAACACACAAATCTCTTATAACGATATAATAGGGATTAAAAAATAAAAGCATTATAACTTGCATATAAAAAGACTCAGCCAGCTTATCTATTTTATCTGAGAATTTATGAGCTTTGAAGGTTGTAATCCATTAAGGCTCTGAATCAAATAATTTTTTTTATCTGATCATACAAGGAAAGTGGTTTACTACCTAGTGGTAGCGAATCGGCAAAGCACTCACTTATAAAAGTGAGGGTTCAAAAAACCCAGGACTCATATTTCCATGATTTTCATGTGCGAATTATTTTCAACGTGATTATGATTTGCTAATATAATATGGTGAAGGAAAACAACGAGAAAACCTGCATATCTGAGAGAGCCTAACGTAAGGCATGTAAAGTCCGTTAGCACGCACTTGACCAGTGTTACATCCTGATCTCCTCTTACTCAGATAAAGCCCGTGCCTAGCATTAGACTCGTATGCCTATGCAAAGCAAATCTAATATTTCAATACGTAAAATTCATATTTAATTATTTACCTATTAGACATTCATATCTTAAAATATTGTAGGCTGGCACCGACTTCGAAAATATCTATTCTAAATGAAAACCTCCGTTTAGTTATTTTTTATATTTTAGTGCCTGGAAGTCGGTTTTTGTTTTTTGTTAAAAAGTTTTTATTTAAAAAATATATTTATTGAGGATTTTTTTAAAAACCGCTCGACCGATTTCGATAAAATGTATGTGGGACCACCTGGGAAGTATGCCCTTTGAAACAAAAAAAATATTTTCCAAATTGGTTCAGGCGTCTTCGAGTAATCGGTGAACATACATATAAAAAAAAGATTCCGACGAATTGAGAACCTCCTTGTTTTTGGAAGTCGGTTAAAAAGAGCTGAATCACATATTTTGATAATTATTAACCCATCGGCGATCAAAGCCAAGGACCTTTAATATCACTAGTGAAGACTATATCACTCCATACACAAAGCCTTACTCAAAAAAAAAACTTAACATAGACCTTCATTATTGTCAGTGTATGCATTATCAGTAAACAGTACAAAGCTGAACTGTATACACTGTATACGTTTATTAATCATTTTACGGTTTTCAATTTATATGCCTGGTATTTTATTATTCTATTGGATCTAAAACATCGAACTCGACAGTTCAATTATTTACATCGGAAACATTTTACCCGTTTCCAACATTCCGAGATATTGCAATATTTTGCATCTGAATTCTTCAAACAATAGCATCAGTCGTCGTTTTCTTGAATTTGATACATACTTCAGTAAAAACCAGTCTTTATTTTACAAATAGAAAATTTAAGTAACTGTGATTTATATACATATAAATCTTTAATTAGTTTATAAAGTATTGCATCAAAAAAAAACTAACATATTTTAATTCTTCGGTTTCTCTATGGAATTTACAGTTGAGTGGAAAGGACGATCTATTTTTTTAATACATTTACTACTAGCCATCAAAATCTGTTTCCCATAGGAATGAGATAATCTCCCGCGGTAAAAAATAACCTATGTCACTCTCTAGCCCTCCAAATATCTTCACACTAAAAATCACGCCAATCCGTCACTCTGCTTCGACGTGAACGATGGACAAACAAACACACTTTCACATTTATAATATTAGTATGGATATGTATACATCTAATTATGATGAACTTTATATATCTTAGTTCAAAAATGATGGAATCCCCATATATAAACTTTCATCCCCCTTTTTACCCCCTTAAAGGACGATTCTGGAAAAAACTGTCCTATGTCCTTCCCAGGGCCTTAAACTATTTTCATATCAAATTTCGTCAAAATCGGTTCAGCGGATTTTTGGTTTATCCATTACAAACAAAAATACATTTTTTTTTTCTCTTTATAATATTATAGTGTATATATAGTATAGACAAATGAATTTTAATAAAGTAGAACTAAAATCTTGACTCAACTAGAACAGCAACTTCAAAGTAGCTCAATAAATTAACACGGAAATAAAAAATTGTAAATATATAATATAATAATAGTCAATAGCAATAGTAAAGCTATTCGTAAATATGACCTCCCGCTTAGATCCGGAATTGTGATTTCCGTTTTTATATAGAAATGTTCCATAGAAATTAGAAATGGAATCAGCTAATATTTCTATCACGCTTTTCAATTTTCTAGGATATGAAATGCGTAATGGACTTTACATCATACTTAACCAGGATATTTAACTTGATCAACTCTCTAATTACCTGTTCTCTGAGAAATCTATACTAATCGTTAAAACGTACCGAGGGATGAACCCAAACGGAGCGAGGGAGAGCCGCTAATATTTTATGATAACTTTTGAAGAATTGTAAAGTAAACAACTAATACGTCTATCCTAAAAATATAAACTATTCCTAATTACCTAATATTATTTAAGGACGAATAATTACACGAAAATCATATCAAAAAAGATAAAACCACGTTTTACTAATCCATACCTTCGTCTAACGAAAGAGACACGAATGAAGCACACCCATAGACCTAGAGAATGGACTGAGCAATACACTCATGGAATTGACCACTCTCTATATAGAGAGAAAGCGAACTCGCGCCCAATACCTGTCTTTTATACCAATTTGAATTTATAAATGGAATGTAAAAATATATAATCCTAAAATTTATTAATAATTATAATATTATAATAGAATGTAAAATAATGACAAAATGGCCATAAATATCTATCTTCATTAATCGTATTTAAATTATTATAGAAGGTTTCTGGCCGCACATTCGTTTTGTCTCTGCCTCTTTTTCCGCCATTTTTAGCTGACGGCTGGCAAAGAAAAACTCAGTCCACTCCATGTCTATGAGTGCACCTGACTGTCACACTTACTTTTATATGACAGTCGGGAAACGCTAGAGGTAAGGCTGTCACGTAAAACAGTAACTTGCCACAAAATGGCACTGCAGCGCTTTAATTTCGAAATTGTTCATTCATGCAATTTGGCAATTATAACCACCCCTGCAATTTTTCAAATTAAAAATCCGTTAAAGGGGATCGCCTACTGTATGGATGTTTATAATGTGGTAAGAACATCAAAACTTCATATGTCACACATCAAAACTCAGACATCAGACATGAAAACCTCAGACATCCGACACCAAAAGCACTTACCTTCCCGAAGAAGGTCCAGATGGATTCCTCACAAAGGGCATCCTCGTCCTGCCCCTCACATCCGTCACAACCACTCCTCTGCCCGAGCCGCGGCCGATGCCGAAGCGCTCTGTCGACATCGGTACGGAAGGACCGCCGCGAATGTTATCCCGCTGGAACATGTTAACGTATTAGACGTGATCCACAAGTGTTAACGAAACGTAACGTTTAACGAAAAGTACTTAACGGATAAAATTGCCAAGTTTTTTTGGTGAAAAATATATATCGAGGCCCAAGTTTCAAGGCGTTTATATCTGGAAATTTTGTTTTCAATATTATGACAATATCCAAATCACTATAATTTAAAATGTCTCTTTGTTTGTTCAATTGTGTGTCACTCGAAAACGGCTCAATTAACACTAGGTACATCTACGTAAGATGAATGTTTGCAACAGTCTAAAAAGACATTTTTTTTATTATTGTTTAAAGTTTATAGATTTTACATTAGATTCTCGCTGACAAATGATAGATTAATAGTTCAATGGAGTTCTGTACAGTTCGTGAGATAATGTCATAAAAGCGGAGTAACATAATTAGACCTCTTAAATGAAAACTCTTGAATGGCAGTCGATATTTTATTACTATGTTATATTGCAAATGGCAACCATACGGTTCAATGTTTCAATAATCGACCGGGATTCGAACCCGAACACCTATGATTGTCAATCTTGCGTCTTGGCCCTTGGCCGCTTGACCATGATGCTTATGCCCGAGCATGCGTAATTATCGACCATATTTTCTTTCGTGGAATAATGCGAAAGAAAACCGCATGAAAATTCGAAAACACGCGTTTTCCCAGACATAAGACGCGACATAAGATCGATTTATCGCCCCCGAAACCCCCTGTGTACCAAATTTCATGAAAATCGTTGGAGCCGTTTCCGAGGTTCAGATGGGTGGGGATAAGATGGGTCAATATTTTGCAGTTTCAATAATCTATATATACTTACAATAAAATTCTGATTCGAATCTGTACATTAAATATTTTTTTGAAAAATCTTATTGAAATACACATTATTATCGATACAGAGGCCGAACCTATAGTTTTTAGATTTTTTGTCTGTCTGTCTATGACCGAATCACAGAAATACCAGTGGAGGGATTTTGAAGAAATTTGATTTGGTAATAGCTGGTTATCCGGCTCAACATATAGGGGAAATCACTGCCATTATTTAACAACCATGCGATGCGCAATGAAATTATTATATGTGTGTAAGAGTATAGTATAGTAAGAGTAATTCAAGAAATATATTTTTTTAGCGATGTCTGTGACCGGACGTATCCCTTGTACTGCCTAATACACTTACGTATATCCGAGTGGACCTCACGAGTTGATATACAGATTGATCAATGCAAAAATGCAAAGCGTGGATTTTACTAATAAGAAAAAAAAACATTTTAGCCTTATCTGCTTGAGAATGGTCACCATCAGGAGGCTCGAGTGGTGTAATTTGTCTGTGGTATGGTAGGACACTCCGTATGTGGTATGGTAGGGTATTATTTCAGGGTTCCGTACCCGAAGGGTGAAAACGGAATCCTATTACTGTGCCTGCGCTGTCCGTCCGTCCGTCCGTCTGTCGGAACGCTGTACTAACTCATGAACCGTAATAGGTAGGAGTTGAAATTTTCACAGAATATGTACAGTTACAGCCTATACGTAATTGAAGTGTTTCTATGTAAGTTTGTGCGTTGGATGCTTGTAGTTAAGGTACTAGACTTAATATTATGGTCCATACAAAATGACTTACCATTTCCTCTTCGAATGTGTTTAAAGCTACTGGTGGTTTTCCTCTAGGCTGATACAGAAGATCGAAGTATTTCAGCTCTTCTGGCGCTTCTGTAGTCCTGTCATAGAGAGCGAGCATCTCCTCCCTGCCGTAACTGCTCCACAATGTTATAAACGAAAAAAAATATTACATTTGTCATTGCATCGTTCAAAATAAAGTAAAACGAATAAAAATAGTTTAAAAACTAATTAAAATATCAAATAAAGATGAGCAACTTATATACCTATCAACTGTAAAAAAAATTGAAACAAAAATAATCAAAAAAAAGAGGAAAGAAATTATAATTAAAAAAAAATGTGTAATATTGAGAAATAAATTTAAAACAACTAACCGTGGGGATAGGTGTCGACACCGCGTCTGAAATGTTATATGAATGGGGACTCACCGCATTTTGGCGAGTTGCACTTTGGGTACTGGTTTGTTTGTGTTCCTTGTGTTTGCCCCAGTCGATGTGCTGGGGCTTGGTGAGGATCTCGAAGGTAGGGCGCTAGCGCAGGCGTTGTCTGAGCCCGAAGCCCCGGCCTGCGCCCCGTGCGCGCCCCCCGAGCTCCCGCTCGCCCCTGCACTTAGCCCACCCGCACCCTGCGACCCACTTCTAGTACCAGGGCGGCTATTCTGACTGGTTCGACCAGCGCTACGTTCACGGGGCAAGTTTCGGAGCCATTCTGGGCCGAATTTGATGGGATTGTTGCGGTCACCCATTGTAATTTTACTGTTTAGATAAGGACAAGGCAGCAGCAACTGCAAAGGAGATTAGGTAATTTGTAACTTTTGACGGTATCGTCTAACATTTAAGTCTGCAATGGAAAAAAACTTACAAATCCACTACCACAGCCACGAAAACTCAATGAGTAAATAAAAGAAAATTATAATAAAGAATAAAAAATATATAAAAAAAAATATATTAAAAAATAGCCCTAAGTAAAAAAATTTGGAAGTTTAAAAAAAGTTTTAAAAAGTTAAAATGTTCGTAAAAACAACTTTTAAAAATATACTCTCACTTAAAAAATATTTGAGATATATTTGTAACACTTGAAACAAGATATGGACAAAGCCACGGTATGCCACTAGTGCACGATAAGAGCAGACGCGAACGTTAGGTCACACCAAACGCTACGAGCCGACTGTCGGATTAAACACAGTCCTCTACCTTCATATCACCCCCCAGACTCCTGCCACCCCCCCTTGTAACTGTATCTTCTGTATTTCAACCGTTCACTCGTTTTGTTGCATATAATGCTTACATAAATACTTATAATAATAATTAACATCAACTTGGATACAAATGAAAAATTCAAATAATTTTGCTTTAAGTTTTTAAGTTCTAAGGCACTGATTTCGCATATGTAAATGTCAAAATATCGCTATTAAAAGCTACAAAGTAGATTTTCGCGTGTGTTTAGTTTTAATTTGACTTTTTTAATTTACTTCTGAGATTTTATTGTTGTTAAAATGGTAGGTAGTATTGAAAAAAAAATACTTTGGGAGGAGTTTCCCGAACATACTCATAGGCAAATTTCCACTCGGGACCAACATTTATTATTCTTGCCGGGATCTAAGATTGTTGATATTTTTTGCGCGTGTTCATAGAATATCGACATAGTATGTAAGTTGTTGCAGTCTAAGTTTACGCAACGTGTATTTATGTAAAAAATCATCATTCGCATCCATACAATATAGTTCGCAGAAAGCAATGATAACTATTTTATTATACAAAATATATACACTAGCGACTCACCCTCGCTCCGCCCGGGTTCGTCCCTAGTTACATTTTAACGTTTAGTATAGATTTCTCAGAGATGAGATATTTTCCTACAGTAAAATGTATCCTATATGTTGACGGATAACCGACTATCATTACTTATACTAAATTATTTGTCCAGTGGTTTTCTCGTGATCCAGTCACAGACAGGCAGACTGACAGACAGACAAAAATTCTAAGAAGAGTAGATTCAGCCTCTATCGATAATAATGATTATTTCAAGAAGATTTTCCTAAAAATATTTAATGTAGAGATCCACTCAGAATTTTATAATATAAAATATGTATGTACTGTAATCGCCGAATGAACCAAGCACTGAGATTTTGCACTTGTACGTGATTAGCTGCAGATAAGACGCTTAGGCCGCGATTACAATGCTAGTCATAATTAGTCCGTCGTTGCATTCCCTACCGTTCAGACGTCTCTCGTGTAGTTACCTGATTTATTATTAATGTAGGAAATGACAGTGATACCTACGTCGGAAAGCGTAAATTAATAAATAATGAATACAAATATTTAAAAATACCGTTAATTTTACTTTAATGTTAATTTTATTTGTATGCTGATTTTATTTTATTACAAATTATTAATAATTCCTCATTAAAGCATTAGCAACATGAACAAGCCCTATGATTTTAAACCAGTTACAAGTGTTAGTGGGCGGAGCTAGACAGTTTTCTGTCCTTATCAGTTTATATGCTAATGTTGAACAGAGAAAGCACTTTGCATGGTTCACTCCGTGAACAGAATATAGATAGAAGATAAAGCATACGGTATGAAACACTATATTTAACCCCCTTGCTTTGATTGTATAATATAATTCTTAAGTATACCTCACTAATATAGTATCTTTAAATATGTGTATCAAAAGAGATTAGTCTGTCTTTTGTCTAGACTGAATGAATATATTGCACGGCTTGTTTTATGATTTATATTTATATTGATTATTTCTTTTTAAATTTATTAGTAGGTACTTAATTTATTTCTATTTTTTAATCAATTAACATGGAATTGTGTTGTGTTAAGTGGTTATTACAGTATTCCAAAAACCTTAATGTTTTATTGGGTATATGTCATCTCAGAAAATGTGAATTTAAATCACCAACTCTCTACTGTTATACATGAACATGAACAGTTCAATGAAAAGTGATAAAAAATTATATAGAACACAATAACCTCGCAGTTCTAAATTAAGTGTAATAATGAACAAACTTATCAAAATAAACAATTCTATGGTATATGATTTTTTTTAAACAAATACAATAATTTATAACACTAAAGTATTATTTCGCTTAGCAATATACTTATATATTGAGCATATTAAATGTAAAATGAAGGGTATTGTTATAATATAAATAAATGATCACTGGTTCGAAGTTGTCAAAAAATTTAATAATATTGTGCATTTACATTATAGAGCTATAAAGAATAGCAGTTACCTAATTTATAACATAAACATTTGAATCTAGGTCAACTTCAACCATTTGACATTATGAAGATAAGGAGTTATCAAAATAATAATTATTGTAAAAAGAATTCTGTTTACTCTAATCCTTTTATCTCAGGAGTCTAGAGATTAATTTACAATTAAAATTCATGTATATATTTTGAAGGGTATTTGTAAATTATGTATGTATTATACAATGTTTACATAGTTATTTTGAACATAACAAGGAGGTAGGTAACAAGTACTATAATATGTAAGCATTTTAGTACATTACATGCCAGAAAATTTAGCACAAATTAAATGTTCCATTAGTTTTAAATTTACTTCTAGTTCACAAGTTTAGATACCTCATTTCCGCGCGGTTATCTGACAATTTTTAATTTCTTTACGTTATTTCCGTATAGAACAAAGTTACGACCACCAGTCATACTTTTAAACACTTTCCATAGTCCTTCCCGAGATTCTGTTCAACTTTAAATAGTTTGAGAATAGCGTATAAAGTTACAACTACAAAGAATTACAATAGATCTCAGCAAAACTTTTATATAGAGAAAACTCACAACTTAAATTATGTAAACTTTTATGAAACTTTATATAGTATTTATATATGATGACATAGCACGCAATACAGAAGGATAGCTGGCGCCTCGTGCTTAGTGCTTACTACGACTCCCAACAGATTGAACACATAATCCTAGACATCAAGAGTCAAGGTGGCAGGAATTAATTGGCCGTGCTAATACAACTTTTCTAGTTAGTGAGGCTGTCATTCATCTACACATATTCAAGGAAGTAATATTAGATATTATGAAATGAGATCATAATTACCTAAGGCGTTGAGATGCGATTCAATAATAGACACACGCAACACGCACGACGGCAGGGAAATATGGCCGACCAAAATGTATTCAGTATTGAAGAAGAACGTCAACGCATGCAGCACGAAATGAAACCATAAACAATCAGTGCTGCCAACTATACTAAAATTACACTTCAAAGTGCAAGAATGAGTAAGATATAGAAAAAATTGGACCATTCAAAATATATTTTAATCTGTTAGTTTTATAGGAATGGGGAAGATTTCTCGAAAGGAGGGCGCCACACGTATGACCTATTTACATTCAGTCTGAGGTTAAGTAATGTATTGTGATATCTCTTTAAACCTGGGTTTTTGCTTCTATTGTGTTCGTATCATAACTATACAATGTATCGTACTTGGAAGTCAGACCAGCTGAAGGAAGAGTTGAGAAGGAGAAGTGCATCCTGTGATGGTCCTGAGCCTGACTGATTGATGGATCATAGCGAAAACCGCTAGTTATGGAAACGTGAAATTTGGAGGACGTATTCCTTTTATCTTGTAGGCATCCGATAAGAAAGGATTTTAAATAAAGCTATCATTTCGGATTATTTGGATTTTTGGTTCCCGACGTTTCGATTTATTTTTTATATTCGATGATTAATTACGTAAGGATGATTTTGAAAATTGTTGACCCCCCAAGCCCCATGTAGCCCTGTTCTTACGTAAAATTCAATAATTTTTTTCCCAATGATTAAAATAAAATTAATACACGGGACGAATTCACTATAATAAATCATCAATTTTGGAGTTAATTTTATTGATATTTCTGAAAAATTTGATGTTAAGGTAATTACAGAAAGTGAAATAAATTCATTCGTAGTCTAATCTTATTTATTCATTAGTTAAAATATATTTAAAAAAATTAAGTTGATATTTATAAAATTTAGTCATAGTTTTTTTAAATAATCATAAAAAATGTAAAAAATGAACAAAACATTTTTTTTAATGTAAACGGTCACTTGAGGTTGGGTGTGGTTTTCAGCGTCTCAAGTCTATAAAACATACTTTTCTCGGAAATGGCTAAACATATCAATTTCATTTTTTATTTATTATATGTATTTCGAAAATTACGTTCCCTTAATTTCATGGAAAACAAAAGATTATTCTAGAAATAAAAAAGAAAAAAAGAAAAACATAAAAACCGATTTTTTTCAAATATCTCTAAAACTTTGAGGTTATTGTAAAAAGTGTTATTTATACAAGTTGTAGATTTTTACCAAACGTAAACTTTTGTAAAAAAAATTTTCGATAGAACGTCACAGTAAGCCGGAAATTGAAAAATAACTATTTTTCAACGCTTTGCGTCCCCCCATTTCTCGGGGTTAGCTGGATAGAGGGGGCATTTTACGAATTTCTATTCTAATAAGTACCTGCTAATATTTTAAAATCATAAAACTTCAGGTTTTTAATACTTTGTTCCCAAACCGGGTTTCGATTGGACTATTTTGAGAGGCTCACAGATAAGTCTGTGTTAGAGAATTATGCCAAATTGAAGCTTTTTATCGCAGGATATTTTTTTCTTCTTTAGTAGTTTAGAGTTGCGTTAGCAGACGCATACATTCTGCCACGTATTGTGAGGAAGACACGAATGAGTTTAAGCGGTTATTGTGAACTTTAACGTGGAATTACAACACAGGAAAATTTAAAATATGTTTTGTTAGACATTATATTCGATAAAGCTCCCTCCGTCGCAAAACGTAAATATTACGTCATTGCATAACATAACCCGCGGTTTGAGAATGCATTTTTAAATGCAGAGACTCACGCAATAGAAGGGAGATGGCGCTACTAAAACAGAATAATCATTGCTGGTTTGTGACGATATTAAAAATTACTACGTAATAACAAGGTTCGTTTTAATTTATTTAAGCGGAACCCTAATTCTTTTTCTAAAATAAAAGTAGCCCAAGTTACTCTTTATGACATCATCTATCTGCTAGTGAAAGTTCCGTCAAAATCCTTAGAGTATACATAAGCTATGTATACTCATAAGTCAAAATCAGTCCTGCCGTTTCGGAGATTAGCCAGAACAAACAGACGGACAAACGAAAATTTTAAAAAATGTTTTTCTTTTATGTACCGCATATAATTTCATAGTACCTGGGCCACCAAGCTTCGCTCGGAGTTTTTGGCCTAAAGTACAATTTTCTTTTTTTTTAAACTAAAAACTTGAATAAATATAAAAATAACAAAAAAAAACAACCGACCGACATTCGAGCCTGGACACCTGTGATTGTCGATCTTGCGCCTTGGCCGCTTGATTACGGTGCTTACGCTAGAACGTGCGAATATATACCTATAAATAATAAAAATCATAAAATATAACTAATTAAGTCTGTAACTATTAACTATTAATAATACAAAATATCTGACCTATCCAATTTTTTTGCAAATTTTGTGTAATTGCATTTGCACCAATTTTTTTGTTTAATTATTATCGTTATTTCAGTTCGTAAAAGCTAAAATTTGAGAAATAAATATTCTTGAGCCTGTAACTTTGTTGTTATTAATGATAAGAAAAAGTTGTCAAATACTGTATCTTATACCTTTAGTAAAAAGCTATTATTTTGACATTACAAACAGTCATTTCAATTTTATTCATCTGTATAGATAAATTAAAAAAATATAATAAGTACCTACCTAACAGTTTTCTTTTATTTCAAGAAGAATTAATATACAAACTTTCACTTTATTAATAATCAAAATTAGCGCGAACAAAGATACTACAAAATAGAGCTGGTGATGATTTCTTCGTAAGATAAAATAATTTGTTATCCTAAATTACACTATTTAATATTACACAATTGTTCTCAATGCTAAAGTTTTATAAGTGCGTGTATGTCCGTTACTTCTTACGCAGTACGCTACTTCTTAGGCTGGAGAAATTATGATAAGATTTTGTACATAGATATAGACTATGACTTGGGATAACGTATATTATACCCCTAATATAAGAAATATAATTCTAAAAATTTGTCAAAAGGTGACCCTGATTGTTTGCCAACAGTTGAATACGTCCATACATGTAATAAAATTGTAACTAAGCCGAATCTGTACATTAAATATTTTTTGGAAAATCTTATTGAAACAAACATTATTATCGATACAGAAGCCGAATCTATAGTTTTTAGAATTTTTGTCTGTCTGTCCGTCTGTTACCGCATCACAGAAAAACCACTGAAGGGATTTTGATGAAATTTGGTATGGTGATAGCTGGTCATCCTCATCAACATATAGGATACTTTTTGCCGCGGGAAAATATATCATTTCTGAGAAAAAATACAAAAACTGCATTCATTGTAAGAGTGTACTAATATATAAAAATTAAGAATTTGGTTTTTGGTCATCTGAACGCGGGTGGAACCGCGAGCAATGCAAGTACATATTATATATTATGAAGTCTATGTTTTTACATCAAGATATCCACACGAAACGAGAATCACTAAACGACTTGACTTGATTCATTCACTCCCCGCTTTCCCGCCAAACATATTTTAAACTAAGATCGAACCTGTTTGCTTTGGCGCTATGAACAGCGTCAGGATAAGCGTCAGTGGAAAAGTATTTTTTTGATTGCTGGTTTCAACGTTTAAACTAATTTATTTAATTTTACTATATTTTACATAAGTATAAAATATTTTATCTAACATAAAAAGTAATATTGCGAAATAATATAAAGTGTTCTAAAATATTACGCATTGCGTACATCTATTCCACGAAAGGATATATTTATAGAACGACGCCCGACGGGCACATCAATAATGGCCGGGCTCGTTGCAATATCCCTTCATCTCGCTGCCGTTAACTGTGATTCATGTCGGAACTTTGACCTTATGCATATAACTCGTAGCGATCAAGTTTCGAGTGCGTTGCGGATTGACAGCAAATTGCTTGCAACGCCGGTGCACTGGGAGACAAATAATTGGTAAGCTTCGATGAGGTGCGCGTCTGCGCAGAAGGCACTTCCCTCCGCGCAGACGCGCAGAATTTCCCACGCACGGGGCCACGGTCACTGCGCGTTGCGAGCTCCCGGGCAAAAAAAAACCTATAATCTCTCATTTCATCAGAAGCGTCCGAAGCGACGCCACCCTTATCTCAATCAGTGTATCTATTACTTTGTTACCAGCAGATTCGCAGTACTTCATACAATCAACATGGCGCAAAGCCTCGACATGTGTCGAAGATTTGAAGAAAAACTAAATGAAATAATTACCTCAGAACGACAACGTGGCATAAAAGTCTTTTCGCCTCAAGAATATTTGGGTATGGTAGAGGAGATAAAGTCCATCAAGCAATCCCAGGTTAAATCACTGGAAGACATTATTCGTCTGCGTTGCTATGATGTTATTAACGTAGGATCGCAAGAAAAGCTTTACATGCCGAGTTTACCACCAGACCCTGTAAAATACTATGTCCATACCCAAGAGATCTTTAACATCTTGTACAACATACATGCCAACACAGATCATGGCCAACTGGAAAAAATGCAAGAAATTGTAAGGCAAAGGTACAATAACATTAGCAAGAAGATGATCATCGCTTTTTTAGAATTGTGTGATACATGCAAACGGAAAAACAATTCTGGAAATCTTTTAAAGTTGGTTATGAAAAACCACTTAGAGTCGAGGGGGCAAGTCGATATCGTTGATATGTCGCTCTTCAAAGACAAGTATCACAGCTTTATGCTCATTTACCGAGATCAAACTACGAAATTTATCCTCGTGCGCCCGCTTGTAAATTTGAGTATAGTAGAAATGGCCTATCAACTTGTGGATATTTTTGCGATGTTCGGGGCCCCAAGCGTTCTTCAAAGCTCGGAAAACAGTTGCTTTCTTAATAAGCTGGTTTTAGAGATCAACCGTATCTGGCCACACCTCACAATTCTTCATGGGCGCATTAAGAACCCATATTTCGAATTACATTTGGACATTGACTTTCATAAGGAGATTCAAGAGTTTATAAAATCTTGGTATGAAGTGAATCCCCGGGCGACGCTGGCTGAAGCAATCCGCTTCGCTCAAATGATGATTAACAGAATGCAATCGCATCACCTCGCCTGCTCTCCATTTGAAACTATGTTCCGTAAGAGGATGCAATTCGGTCTGCCCCAGGTTCTGTGGGAGAGGATACCGGATGGAATGATAGCGGAAGAAGATGTAAAAGAATATATTCATAGAAATTGGGAAAATGTCTAAATATCATATGACGAATTCCTTGAAATATTTATGAATTTTTTTAATATCTTATTGTTAGTGTAGCATTCTCTCATTGTAGACATTAGAGGACTCATATTGAATTTAATTCAGTACTAAACTTACAAAGTAGGATTAGTTATTCTCTCATTGAAATGTAATGTAATAGGTAACTAAGTAAATATGAATAAAAAATAATTGGTGTATCATTACAATGCTAGAAATAAATAGATTTTAAAATTAAATGACATTCTTTGGTAATAATTATGTCCTTGAAACAATGTCTCTTTATTTTATACTAAAGCTTGTTATAAATATAATATTTCTAAAATGTTTGCACAGGATAGCCTTCCAAAAAGCCGAAAGTATGAGGCTTGCTTGCTAAAGTATAAAAAATGTGCAACAAGTGTGTATAAAGATAACAATTGAAATGTAAGTTAACGGGATTAAAAATGTTACTATTACAATATTATATCCAAACTTTTTCCTTTTAGTGTTTGAAATTTATTTCAATGGAACTTTACAATAAAATCAATTTAATCTTGGTTTCCGTTTAAATTCACTAAAAATTTTTTAATGTAATGTAAGAAATTAATAAATAGGGTTCTAGGTATATTATGTAATGGACAACCGAATACTCATACATTGAAAAAAGAAAAAAAGTCTGAATAAATTAAATTGATCATGCTAATGATATGCAAATCAAACATGATGATGATGTTCTCCTGACCGATTCTGGCCACGGCGGCCAATCTCATTGAGACTAGCCAACTGCGCAGGAGATATTATAGTGCACAAGTGTACGCGCAGACACAGGTGCACTGTCTATTCCTGTCACTCTCATACTCTGGTGGGACGACCACTCGACACAACCAGTGAGAGTTAAGGCGCAGGACCAACGGCTTTACGTGTTCTCCGAGGCACGAGTGTGAAACACCGCCAACTTTCCAACTCCGGGCTGTTAATAAGGCTTACTATACAGAAAGACTCAATAACTAAACTTGGCCCGACCCGGGACTCAAACCCAGGACCTCCGAGTGTGCAGCCGTACATGCTAGCCACTACACCACCAAGGCAGTTGCCAGTTGACATCAAACATAATGTGTTTAAATGTATGTGCGTGTGCGTATGTGTGTGTGTGTGTGTGTGTGTGTGTGTGTGTGTGTGTGTGTGTGTGTGTGTGTGTGTGTGTGTGTGTGTGTGTGTGTGTATGTGTCAGTATATGTTTGTATGTGTGTTATGTGTAACGGTTGTTAACAGTTTATTTTAGTATTCAGACTGATGCTATCTGTTTATTTTACTATTATGACTGCTGTTGTCCATTTATTTTACTATTTTGACTGCTGTTATCTGTTTAACTTACTATTCTGACAGTTGTTATCAGTTTATTATACTATCCTGTCTGCTGTCATCTGTATGTTTTACTATTATGACTGCTGTTATCTGTTTATTTTACTCTTCTGACTGCTGTTTTCTGTTTGATTTACTCTTCTGACGGCTTTTATCAGTTTAATTTAGTGTTCTGACTTATGTTATCTGTTTATTTTGTTATTTTGTCTGCTGTTATCTGTTTGTTTTGCTATTATCTGTTTATTTACTGTTCTGACGGTGTTAACTGTTTATTTTACAATTCTGTCTACTGTTAACTGTCGTTTTACTATTCTGATTATTGTTATCTGTTTGTTTTATTATTCTGACTACTGTTATCAGTTTATTGTTGTATTCTGACTCATGTTATCTGTTTAGTTTATTATTTTGTCTGCTGTTATCTGTTTATTTTACTATTCTGACTACTGCTATCTGTTATTTTGCTATTCTGTCTGCTGTTAACTGTTGTTTTACTATTCTGTCTGCTGCTAACTGTTAGTTTTACTAATCTGACTGCTGTTATTTGTTTGTTTTATTATTCTGACGGCTGTTATCTGTTTATTTTAGTATTTTTACTCCTGTTATGTATGAATTTTACTATTCTGTTTGATTCTGCTCCTTTGTCTGTTTTGGTTTCGAATATTCTGTCGGACTTATTTGTTCTGATTCTGTGATATACAATGTGGTATATTCGGGCTGGTTACCGCAACTCGACGACTTGCGCCCATTCTGCGCGTGTGAGAATATTATTCTGTTACTCTTGCCACTCCAATTCCTTCAGGAAGCTCAGCAACTTCTCTTCCTACTGAAGAGCTCCGAGAGTGTGTTTGGGATACCAAGATGTTGAGCCCGGTACGCCGCTACAACTGGACAATATAAGAGTTACTATGTTACGCCGATGTTAAATAGATGTTTTTATGGTCTGTGGCAAATTTATCGGCCGCAATTTAAGGCTGCAGTTGTCTGCCTTAGTTGAGATTTATTGAGATTGATGAGACGGTTCGCCATTTTAGCGTCAATGTTTGGAAGTGACTCATTCGCCTGTCTTCAACTTTTAATCATAGACTATTGTGTTGCGTTTCGTGCGTTCTCGAATTAGGCCTTTGAGCCAGCAAGAAGGTAGCGACAAGATGGGATCTATAATAAATAATAATCATATCCGACCCTCTTCTAGCCAACTCATCGGCCATAACATTACCGCATGAATTACTGTGGCATTTGATCCATAGCAAGGTGACCTCGATGAAGAAGATGAAGATGAAGAAGTCCTTAACGTTGGGATGCAGCGTTGGGATGGAGGCCTGTAGAACTTTGTATCCGAGTAGTCAGGCTTACCGGGTTTGGGCACATAACCAAAAGCTAGAACCCAGTTCTCATTGTGGTTGTCCGGTAAGGATTTTACGAATTCTGTTAGTCTATATAAACGATTATATAGACTCTCAGTAGGAATTTGCGTCATACACGATTTCTGTAGTAGGTGTCTTAATCGGTTTTTGTACTTAGCTTCAACATTTCTGTAGTGGTCCCATTCCTGGGTTATATGTATTCATAGCTCTACTGAAAGCTTTTCTGACCTTATTTCTTAGGCGTTTTAACTCTGGACCCAACCAGCACTGTTTCCTGTGATATACAAATGTTGACAATAATGTTAATCGCAAACTAATATATAAGTTAGTTAGTTTAGTTATATAAGTTGTGTGATGGACCCTATAAAATAGCACGAGTATGTCTTAATTATCGCTATAAGATCTGTAGTATAAAGCAGAGCGAAGGTTACAAATTTAATGCTATGCTACCTGCTGATAACTAGTGACCATAATATAAAAGTTTTGCTAATTATGATACTGCTATTAGCGATAAAGATATTTGAGTACGCAAGATCTGATCGGTCTGTTAGAAATTTAATGCGTCGAAACAGTCCCTGGGTTATTTAGTAAATGTATTTAGCTGTACTCTAATGAGTCAGACCTTTTTCTAATGTGTTTTGTGAATACCCTATGGGTATTCACTTTGCAGGATGGCCGATGTTACGCGCCGCTAGTTTATTTGAAGACATCAAGTACGCCTTCGTACAACCTCTGTGGTGTTCGTCTACGTAGGTGCCAGGCAGGCAGGAAAGGTATGACGACAAATATATTGATTGACGTTTGGGCGGGACGCATGATTTTCTGTTGTGTATTTTTTATTTATTATTATCATACAGTATATTGCTACATATATAAAATTATTATGTTGGGTGTGGTGCTGAGGTCTGTATATAAATTTTATTAATTACTGTCAATATAACGATTGTAATAAGAAAAGTGTTTCATTGTTGCACAATTACTTTAAAATGTTATTTTTATTGAAGGATGTAGTGTATTTATTACACTACACTACATATTTAAGACACACTATATTATAGTAATTTAACCTTTGACTATGCCTTGATAAAATGAAAGTTTTGTTAGTAACAAAATAAAACAAGATGATGTTTTTTGGTTAAAGTAAAAATACTCATGATTGATATTCCAATTTTTTATTGTCTAAAAATTTAAATGTTTGTAATTTACTAACATTTTTGTTTCAAATAGTAATGTGATTTTATCACGTTATATGAATTGACTTTTAAGTAAATTGGTTCTTCGATGGTGTCATTTGATATGATTAAGATTATGTCTGAAACAATAGCAAGCATATTATTCAGGCACTGATTAAATATCAGTTAAATTAAATATTAGTACACTAAACAAAAATCAATATCAATAATAAAGTTTATTTATTTATTTATATATAGGAATAAGTCGAGGTGATGGTAGGAGACCTGATGGTCTGTCGCTGATTCAACATGATTATCATAACATGATTATCCCTTAACGGTGAAGGAAAACATCGTGAGGAAACTTGCATGTTTGAGAGAACCTAGCAAGTTTTCGAAAGACATGTGAAGTCCGCCAACCCGCACTTGGCCAGCGTGGTGGACTATGCCCTGATCCTCCTCGTATTGAAGGGAGGCCCGTGCCCAGCTGCGGGACGTTAAAAAGGGCTGAATACAATATTTTTTACAGATTTTTAATATTGTGACCAAAAATGGGGAAGATTTCTCGAAAGGAGTGTGCCGCACGTATGGCCTGTTTACATTGATTCTGAGGTTAAGCAATTTATTGTGATATCTCTTTTATACCTGGTTTTTTGCTTCCATTGTGTTCGTATCTTCCCTGTGCAATGTATTGTACCTGAAAGTTCGACCAGCTGAAAGCAGAATTGAAAAGGAGAAGTGGATTCTGTGGTGATCCTGACTGATGGATTAACACACAGTCTAAACCGCTGGTTGTAGAAACGTGAAATTTGGAGAACGTATTCCTTATATGATTTAGGCATCCGATAAAAAAAGATTTTTTTAAAATTCAACCCCTAAGTGGATAAAGCAGGGGATTAAAGATTGTATGAAATACACAGAAAGTGGTATTGACTTTAAAAATAAAAAATAAGAAATATATTAAAGGATTTAAGTTTCTTAAATGTTACAGGGTCTATAAGCCTTGTGCCGTCACAATGGAAGTTTTATTACCAGGTGCATAGATCTTGTACCGCAGGAATGGAAAGTATAGAAAAATCACAGCCGCAGCGAACGTGTTAATACAGTTAAATAA